CTCTAGGGTAGAGCTCTACTGGGTGCTAGAGTGGAGCCTTGGGAGCACGTTGGCTGCGGTCTTCACACCCTGGGTGGTAGATGAGGCTCAGGGGGCTCCCTGGCTGCAGTTTAGACACCCTGGGTGATAGACTGGAGCTTGGGGGGTGGTTCCCTGGCTGTGATCTTCACACCCTGGGCGCTAGGGTGGAGGTCAGGGGACTCCTCGGCTGTGGTCTTCACTGAAGCATGTCACCAGGACTTTTCTTCGGGTGCTGTGGGCGGATTGGACCACCGACCTTTCACAGAACCCTGACACTCACACCCACCTCCATCGCACTGATTTGTAGCACGTCGGGGTAGCATAGGGCCCCCCTGTCGGGTTTTCAAGGCCTGGATCATTCTGGAAGTGGACTGCCACAGCTTTCTCCACCGATCAGCTGTATGTCTGAACTGCAGGCCTCTTAGTTACAGGCACATGCTCAATCATGGTGCATTTCCAGTCTTTTAACCAAGCCAAACCAGACACACAGTGCTCAAACGGATCCTTTCCATGAAAACCTCCATTGGGTTCCCAGAGCTGTAGGTGTTTCCAGGAAACTGCCCATCTTTCACTTGAGGTGGATCTGAACCCCAGACCTTTTGGTTCCAAGTCCATCACGTAACATACTAAGATGTCAGGGTTCCTTTCCAGTCTGAGCTGGAGAGAAAGACCTTTGGGGAGATGGGGCCGCACCACGATTGCAGCAGCAGTGGGCGTAATGCAGCGGTGGTCGTGAGGGGGACAGGATCTGTCCGGTTTCAGGCTGCTGGACACAGGGTTCACTTGGGCGCCTAGCAGGCAACACCAGGCTAGGAGAATTCCGGTAAGTCTTGTCGGGACCGGCAGGAAGTGTCCGGGCAGGATGATCTCAGAGGTCTGTGTTCCTCCCCTTTGCTGGTGTGTCTGCACCTGGCCTGGCTCACCCAGAGCTCAGTGTCTGTCCTTCCTGACCCCCAGGTCCCCAGGCTTTGGGCTGACCCTTGTTGCTGAGACCACCAATGGTACCTTCCTCAGTGCTGAGTTGGCCTCCAACCCTCAGGGCCAGGGCACAGCCGTGCTTCCTGAGGATCTGGGCCGGAACTGTGCCAAGCTGCTTCTGGAGGAGATCTACAGGGTACGTGCTCCCTATGCCCCCCACCTCTCTCCTGATACCTCCTTGCCTCCCGCCTCTCTCCTGAGCCCCCCGAGGCCCCCACCTCTCTCTCTGAGCTGCCCCCGTCCCCCTCGCCTCGCCTTCCAGCTGCCTGGTTCCAGTTCCTCAGCACTTGCTTCCTCTTCCCATGTTAGTCCAGGGTCTGGTCTGCTCCTGTAACAGTTGAGATCAGCTGCTTTCACGGCTCTGGCAGTGTTGGCCGTCAGGGCTGAGCCCTGCAGGGTGGGCACAGGGTGGGGGGGGGGGGGGAGAGAGGAAAGGGCCAGGGTGGCCTTGGGAAGGATGGGTGTGAGGTATAAGAGTGGAGCAGGTGGGGGTGATGGTGGGAGGTCAGATCCTGTCCTGACCCCAGAGAGGCCACCTCTTGACAACCCCCCTTCTGTTCCCTGTGGGAAGGGATGCTCACTGTTGGCAAATTTTTCAAGCTGGAAATCTGGGTTTGTATTTGACCCAAAACCCCAAACCCACTGGCACGTGGAGCCCCACTCCTCGTGATCATCCTGCAGGACTGAGGAGATCTTCTCTGGTTTTCAAGGCTCTAATCTTTCCGGGTTTGAACTGCTGATCTTTTGGTTCATAGCTGAATGCTTTAACTACGACACCACGAGGCTCTCTTTTATATGTTCATACTGAAAAGAATGTACCAGAACAGATTTTGTTCTGTGCACTAGAATATCAGAGTGTCTGTTCTCTGAAGAAGAGGGTGGGGTCACAGCATGATCGGGCTTTGGAAAGGTGAGGATGGGACAGCGGGTGGCATACGTGAAGCAGGCCTTCATCCCTTCCCATTGGACACACCCTGGTCACCTGGGTCACCTGGCTTATCCATGACCTCGCAGATATTATATTCTCTGTGATGACGGAGACTTTGAGGCTCTCTCAGTCTTTCTGAGCCTTGATCAGAGTTCTCTTCAAAGCCGTCAAGTTTTTACGGTTCTGCATCATCCTCTACCCATTACCCACCTACCAGTCTGCTTTCACATTTCAGATCTCTCCGAGTGTCACTTAACTCTTTCCAGAACCAGGTCCAGTTCAATCCTTAACAGTCTTAAGATTCTAAGTGCCCATTGCTTCTGTGACACAAAGGGAACTTCACTTTTGATTGCAAGCACTTTGGTACATTTCTTTCGTTGTCCTTGTTTACTGAAAGTGGGAAGACTTGATGTGCTTGCTGCAGATCAAGGGCAGTAGACTTCAGTATGAAGGGTTACATCTGAACGTCAAGAAAACAAAACTCTTCACTGCTGGGCCAGTGAGCAACACCATCATAGATGATGGAGAAAGATTGAAGTTTGCAACTGTTTCATCTTGCTTGGATCCACAGTCAACAGCTTGTTATCAGCAGTTAGGAAAACAAGAGACATTGCACTGGGCACGTCTGCTGTCAGTCCAAATACCCGAGGAGCAGTGATGTCTGTTTGAAAACTAAGGTGAACCTGATTCAGGCCACGGCCTTCTCGAAAAAATTACTTGCTGTGCATCTGAGACCTGGACAGTGAATAAGGATGACAGAAGAATCAATGCCTTTGAGTTGGAGAAAAGTACTAAATACCTTACAGATTGCCAAAAGAACAAACGTATTTGGAGAAAGTACAAGCAGGGCGCTATTTCGAGGCAGCGGTCATGAAGCTCTGTGTGGTTGAATCTTTTAGGCATATTGTTAGGAAAGGCTTTTCGTTGGAAAGAGACATCATGCTTAAAGGTGGAGGGTCAGCAAAGGAGAGGAAGACCCTTGATGATGTGGATTGAAACGGTGGCTGTGGCAGTAAGCTCCGGTGTGTAAGTCGGGATGAAGGTGGCACAGGAGAGGACAGGATTCAGGTCTGTTGTTCACAGGGTCTCTATGAGTTGTGCTCGACTCTATGGCACTTAACAGTGACATTCTGATAGGGGAGCTCTTAAGGTCTAGTGGGTAAGTAGCTGTGCTGTCAACCCAAAGGCAGGCGGTATGAATCCACCAGCTGCTCTGAGGGAGAAAGGTGGGCAGTCTCCTGTATGATTTATAGCCTCTGTAAACCCGCTTGGGGCATCAGTTCTGAGTCAGTTTCAGCATGAAGGCAGTGAGTGAGTGGGTGATTTGTTGTGCTAGTTTGAGAATTAGAAATACTGCGGTAGATTGCCCTTAGTTTATGTAAGAATTGTTGTTGTGTTGTTAGCTGTTGTCGAATCGAGTACAAGTCATAACAAAAGATCTAAACCCTGTTTTGTCCTGTGCCGTCCTCACACTTCCTGACACACAAAAGCCCATTGCAGCAGTCACTGTGTCAGTCCACCTGGTCGAGGGTCTTCCTCTCCTTTGCTGACCCTCTGTCCTTAATAGCATCAGGTCCCTCCCCAAGCAATAGCACCTCCTAACAACATGCCCAAAGAATGTAAGGCAAAGCCTTGTCATTCTTGCCTCCAAAGAGCACGGCAGCTGCACCCTCTCCAAGGCCTGTTTGTTCATTCTTTTGACTGTCCATGGAATGTTCTTTACTCTCCTTATTTACTGTCCAGCCCTCAGATGCATACCAAGTGATGGGGAAGACCATGGCTTGAATGAGATGCACCTTGGTCTTCAAACTGACATTATGACTCCTCAATAATTTGGAAAAGTCCCTAACTGCAGATTTTATCAGTGCAACGCGTCTCCTTATTTCCTGACTGCTGGTACTAAGGGTATTAATTGTGGATCCAAGTAAGATGAAGTTGTTAACACCTGTGCTCTTTTTTTAAAATGTACGTAACAAAATGCCCATCATATCAACAGTGACATCACTTCCTTAGGTTGTCCTGCCATTTTTTCTGTCCTTTACGAAATCATTCCACTACATCAACAAAACCTGCCAGGCAAAACCAGCTTCCTCCCCCAAGTCACCATCGATATCTCTGGTTTAAGTGTTTGTTTATTTCCTGTAAATGAGACTGGCTGTTGGTCCTTTGGTGACTGATCTTATGCAAGAGGACGTTTTCCAGGCCCGTCCACGTCGAGGCGATCACCAGCCCTCACTTCTCTTTGGGGCTCAGCACCCAGATAGCATTTCCTCCTCCAAAACCAGGGCCAGCCTTTGTTGGGCCTGAACTTTGTCCCTCACAGTTCCAGCCCATGTGCTTCCATCCCGCAGCCCAGCTGCCCTGTTGGTGTCTGGTTTGCACACAATTAATCATTGACCTGTTTGTGTTTACAGGGCGGCTGTGTGGATTCCACCAATCAGAGCCTGGCTCTGCTGCTCATGACCCTCGGGCAGCAGGACGTTTCCAAAGTCCTCCTGGGACCACTGTCCCCTTACACGTGAGTGCGTCCCTCCCTCGCAGCCCCCTCATCCTGTCCGTCTTCTGGTCGTGTGGCCCCAGGCCTGCTTGTTTTGTCTCTGCGAGCTGGCAGGCGCCTGCACACATTCCCGTGCTTGCCTTTCCCGGTTTCCTCATCTTCTTTCCTCCTCTTGGTCCTGCTGGTCTTCCTCCTTCCTCTTCCCCTCTGTTTTCACCCACGTGATCACAGCTGCACGATGTGGAGTGTGTCTTCTTGTCCTGTCTGTACTTCGGCTCTGGTTTCTGGCTCTGTCCCACCTCTGAGCTAGTTGGGGTTTCAGCCTGTCTCTCCCCAGCAGTCTTCCCTTGCTGTGTGTCAGACGGCCAGCTTTCTGTCAGAGCTGGTGGTGTGTGAGGGACTGCAGGTCAGGGCCGAGGCAGAGGTCAGAGCAGCGCGGGCCTCGTGGGGAAGCTGTGGACGGGCCGGGGCCTGAAGTGTTAGAACAGCCCCTGAGGGGGAAAACAGTGGCTTCTCCTCACGAACGAACCGCTCATCAGGAAACTGGAACTAACTCTAGAGCTAGTGAGGGAAGTTTCCAGAAAACAGCACCGTGAGCACTGAGGGGGGGGGTGCGTGTCACGCTGTCCTGTATGCACCCGTGTGCTCATGTCGTGTGTTTGGCCCTTCTCGGGAGGGGAGCCGCTGTGGGTCTCGTGGGTGGAGGCATCCGGGTAGAGCTGAGACTGAACTGCCCTTTTTCGGTTATCACGGTACCGATGCTGTATGACTGGAAGGTACAGTACTGTGATAACTGAAGGATGGCAGTGCCATCACGTTGAGAAGGGGCCAGGGCTGCCTGGAGTCCCCTAGGACGTGGAAACCAGGAGCTTGGTGCACACCAGGGCCAGAGGGGGTTGTGGAACAGACACAGAGGAGAGACATTCTGTTCACGACGAGGAGACCGAGAACCAGGGTGCTGAGAGGACCTTGTTCTCGTCGGCAAGTGTGTAAAGTGTGCCACGGTGGGGGGAGCCCGAGACTGGGTCACCTGGGAGTCGGCGCCACTGCACCAGCCCATGTGGGTGACGCGTTTGAGGGGAGACAGGCCCAGTGGGTGGAGTCGCTCCTACAAGGACCTGGCTGGAAGCCATGGACACCAGGGTCCCTCTGACCCCTCTTCGTTCCTGCTCCCAACCTCTGTGTGAGCTGCAGAGGCCAGACCCTCAGCGAGAGACTGTTCTAGAAACTAGTCACGGATACAGAGCTTGGCAGATCGACTTGTGAAAGACGGAGTGTGTTTTTATTTTGTTTGCCTCTGGTGACCTCACCCTCAACAGGACAGACATTGCTAGGTACTGCTGCCTCTGACAGTTGGCTGGTTAGACCGTTGGGGCCCATGGGGTACCGCTGGTGGATTTGGTGGTAGGTCACCACACCTTTCTTCCTCGTCTGTCTTGGTTTGGAGGATTCACTGAATCCCGTTGAACATCCTGGACACACAGTTCTCTGCTAATAGACATGCGGTGGTTCAGCAGGGGCGCACTGGCCAGGAATTGAACCCAGGTCTCCTGTCGGGAAGGTGAGATTCCGGCCGCTGAGCCGTCGGTGTTCCCACAGGAGCGACCACGAGGTTATTGCCAGGACACCTGTACCTGGTCGGGACCCTTTTACTGTTTCCCACAGGAAGGAGCTCAGGTCAGCCTGGTGTTTGTATGGGTTGTGAAGGGGACACAGGGACAGAGTGGTTGACACTGGCTGGGATCAGGAGCTTTGGACACCACGCTGTCACAGCTGCTCCTGGTGGGATGTCTGCACTGAGAGCCTCGTTTCTGGGATCAGGAGCTTTGGACACCACACTGTCACAGCTGCTCCTGGTGGGATGTCTGCACTGAGAGCCTCGTTTCTGGGATCAGGAGCTTTGGACACCACACTGTCACAGCTGCTGCTGCGTGCAGCCTGAGGTGGGTGGGATGTCTGCACTGAGAGCCTCGTTTCTCAGGAGAACTGAGAGCAAGGCCTTCTGGGCTCAGCATGTTTCTCCTGGTTGTGCTCACATGTTTGGGTTTGTCTAAAGAGCCTCGTGTCACCAAGTCACAGATCCTGAAATCAGAGGAGATGTTTCTTAGTGTGGCTGTCAAACCTTTACTGGAAAACATGACCCTCTTTCTCCTGAGGAAGCGTGTGGTGTGGAAGGGAAGTCACCACAGTCGTCTAGTTTGAGGGAGCTCTGGTGTGTTCACCAGCCGCTCCGTGGGAGGACGAGGAGGAAGTGCTGTAGGGACAGCAGCCTTGGACACCCAGCGCGAGGGAAACCCAGCACTTCCCCCAGTGTGGGGGAAACCCAGTCGCTCACGGCCGCCGTGGCAGTGTGTTACCTACTTTGTGACATGTGTGAGCTGGCTCTGACTTAAGCCGTGATGGACCGAGCCCTGACCTTGCCAAGGACTCAGTAGGACTCTGTGACCCTGTTTGTTAGAGCGGAGCTGATCTCCCTGGCGTTGCCCTGCCTCTAAGGAGCATTGCCTGGCCTCAGTTAAGCACTTCACTGTGGTTGTCATCCATTAGATCATTTGAACCGACTGCTGTTCCACAGGAGAAAGGCCTGGCAGCCTGTCCCGGTAAAGACCCACCCGCTGCCCTGTGGACGAGTTGGCACTGACTCCTGGCCACCCTCCACCAGCTTTCTGAGCCTGTGAATCTGTGAGAGGAGACTGCTCAGTTCTCTCCTGTGGAGCAGCGGGTGGCTTTGAGCTGCTGACCTTTTCTGCAAGCAGGGCTAACACCAGGAGAAAAGCACGTGGATGGGGCTGTTTTCAGGGACGTGGGGCCACCGCAGCTCGTTCCTCCCCACAGGGCGCCGGCGTGTTGGATTCTGCAGTAAGACGAGCTCCTTTCTATCTTTAGTTGGGAGTCTGACATAATGCTCACCACCTGGTTACGTAACCTCTTTCTGCTGCTTGTGGAGGTGCTGGGGGGGTTTGAGCTGCTGTCCATGTCAAACACCGGCTCCTCAGGCCCCTGCTTCCCTGTCTGAATCCCAACCTCCGAGTGGTCCATCATGCTGGACGGAGCTGGGCACGGCTCACACACCCTGCCCCTGCCTGGATGAACGCTGCCCTCAGGCTAGTCCGCCGCTCTCCAGCTCACGCTGTATGCAGTCAGCTTGCTAAGTGAAGGGGCCGTGGTTCGAGTCCACACAGGCTCCTCGGAAGAGGGGTCTGGCAGTCTGCCTCCAGATTGTCTCTGCAAACCCCGTGGGCACAGCTGGCCGTCCTGCTGGTTCACTGGGGCCACCGAGAGTGGACATGGGCCTGATGGTAGTTGAAGGACTGCAGAGCCTGGCACCTCTGAGAACACATCTGGCGTGTCATTGCGATCGATGGTTCGGAAGAGGTCAGCAGCTCTCAGTGGGTGGGCCCAGGGCCCCCAGTTGGGCAGCTGGCCACCTCTCGCCTGCCCCAAGCTGCACCAGTACCTTCACACTTTGACGGAGAGTAGCAGGGTTTGGAGATCATTTCAGAGCTGCTGTGTGATGACTGCAGTCACTAGGTGGCTCTGATCACTGAGTGCTTGGCTGTGAATCAAAACAGGAGGTTCACATCTACCCAGAGGCACCTCGGAAGAACAGCCTGGCCACCTACTTAAATGTACAGACAACACCCAAAGAAGCAGGAGGTAGGAAATGAAGACAGTGCATTGAACAGATTTGTCAGAGATCCCTTCTAAACTCCTGAAGAGCAAAAGATACTAGTTTAAAGACCCAAGCCATGATACTTTGTTACTTCATGTAAATGTGAAGGTTGGAAGTTGAATAAGGAAGGCTGGAGAACCGATCCCCTGAATTGTGATGTCGGTGAAGGATGTTTTCTGTTAACTGTGAACTCCCCACACTAATCCATCTCGGAGAACATGCAGCCAGGATGTGCCTAGAGATGAGGATAGTGAGGCTTTGTCTCAAGTATCTCGGGCATTTGTCAGAAGGGGCCGGTTCCTGAAGGCCATGATGCTTAGAAAAGTAGAGAGTCAGTAAAAAACATAAGAAAAGATCCTCCACGCAGTGTACTGACAGAGTGACTGTCGCAGTGGGCATCCGTCCTTGTGAGGATGGCCAGGCCCAGGCTGTGTACAGGGTCATCTGGGTTGGAGCTGACCTACAACATCTAACAGCTTAGTCATCTTGGCAGCTGACGTTGTGGACCTGAAGTGGGGAGTTCTGGAGCACGCTGGCCCCCCCTCATACTTCTCTTCACGCTGGCCCAGGGCTCCGGCAGAACATCCTGTCATAGGTGGACCCAGCTGTCCCAGAGGTTGAAAAACACCCCAGAGTTGTGCAGCTTTTACACACTCACCTGGGTGTGGGGTCCCCTACAGCCCACCAGCTGGGAGACTGGCAGTGGTTTGGAGCATAGAGGGGCAGTTCACGGCCTGGCTGGTGGCCGGGGACAGAGTGTGGACAGCTGGACACCAGCAGACACACAGGGCAGCTTTCTGTCCTCCCCAGGTGGGGTGCACTGCGGCCGCCAGCTGGACGTGTGGCCCATGGGCATGGACTTGTGTATCTGTGGGTTTGAGGTTTGCTTTTTTTTCTTTCCTAGCGGGGGGGTGAGGGAGGTGGTGGTACTGGGGTGGAGACCAAAGAAAAGAAAGTAAAGCTTGAGTTGCATAGTGAGCCGGGGAGGCAACAGGGGGCAAGCCGATGTTCCTTAACAGCTCAGGGCGTCTCAGGGCGTTGAGATCGTTTCTCCCTCAGTTCTATTGGATGTCTCTGTTGGGGGCCTGGCAGAAGTACCTACAGGAGACTCAGGGTTAGAACCTGCATCAGAAAGGGAGGGCAGTGGAGGGCCCATAGAATGCTCACCTCCACACAGGAGGCCCAGGTTCAGTTCCCAGCCAGGGTTCTCCTGGGCAGCCACCACCCACCCAACTGTCATGGGGCTTCCAAGATAAGACTAGGAAGAAAGGTGAGCTACATCCAAAAATGAGCCCGTGGAAACGTCTGTGGCCCAGTGGTCAGATCAGCGGCTGCTCCTGGAAAATGGCAAGGGACATGGGATTGGACAGTGTTCCTGTCAGTTATACACCAGTTCACCAGGGGTCAGGGCAAGCAGACAGCAGCGAGCCCGGCCTGGCAGGCTTCGCTCCGGCTTCGATGACAGGGTAAGTCATCGCCCGTGGGGTGCTTAGGTAATCCTCTGAGGACAGAGCGGACACTAAGAACAGCTGCACAGACAGAAGGCTGTCAGAGGAGGACAAGGCCATGTGGGTGTACTGACAAGGAAGGATGTGCAGGAGGTGGCGGGCCGACCAGTGCTTGGAAGGTGGAGAAGAAGCGGCACATCACCATGTCCCCTGGTGGAGAGGAGGCAGAGTCAGGCCAGGGGCCCTCAGGGACAGCGCTCATCCTCCACCGTGCCCCTGTCCTTCAGGGACCGCTCACCCTCCAGCCCCCACGGTTGAGGGCTCTAGAACTGAGAGGCCAGATAAGACAGGAAGCAGCCCTGCGGGGTTTGTGCCTGGATGGGCATAGGAACCAGTGCCAGTGCTGTAGGGTTTTTTAAAACTACAGGTAGGTACTGGTGTCTTTATTTGAAATTCTTGCGCTCTAATTTACTCATCTCGGAGAGGGTGAAACCAAGTCTCTCCTTGGAGGGTAAGATTTTGAAGCTCCGTCTCACATACTTTGGCCGTGTGGCCAGGAGGGACCGATCCTTGGAGAAGGTGTTCATGCTTAGAAGGGTGGAGGGACAGCGCAGGAAAGGAAGACTCCAGATGAGATGGATTGATACAGTAACTGGGGCAGTGAGGGTAGGTGTGTCAGTCGGTGAGACTGGTTCAGGACAGGGCAGGCTTCAGAGCTCTTGTACAGAGGGTCACTATGAGTCACAGGTGACTCGATGGCATACAACAGTAATTTATGCATTAATTACAGTGTGCTCATCTAAAGCATATAACTCGGTGGTTTTTTAATACATTTGCAAAGAGTTGTGTAACCATCGCCACAGCCTAGTTTTAGATTCTTTTCATCACCCCAGAAAGAGGCCCAGTGTCCATCAGCCCCACTCCCTGCTCTCCAGCCTTCGGCAAACACTAGTCCACTTTCTGTCTCTCAGCAGATGCGCCTGTTCAACTAGTTCATCCGAGTAGGATATTACAATACGTGGTCACTGGTGGCAGCATCGACATAGTGTAGTGTTTTAGGGTTCATCGATGCTGTAGTCATGGTTGAAATCAAATTGAAAGTATTTAGTGAGAGTCAGTGTTGTCCCTTGGGGGTGCTCCTCGTTCAAGTTGAAGGGCATTTGGGCTGTCTGCCCTTATCGGCTGTGCTGCTGTGAGCAACCAGGTTTGCCTTTGTCTTGGGTACACACCTGGGAGTGCAGTTAGTGGCCACGTTTGGGCTCTGAAGGTGGCCCAGTGAGTTCGGTGGGGCTGCTCACCGAAAGGCTGGCGGTTTGAATCTGTCAGCGACTCTGAGGAAGAGAGAGGAGGCGGAGCCAAGCGCCCGGGTCCACGTCACAGTAGTTTTTGTGGTCAGTCTGTATTTCACATTGTGAGGTCCTGCACAACCATTTTATATTGACACCGGCATGAATGTAGCTTCCGTTCTATACGCCTTCACCTGAACTTTACCTGTTGCCTTTTGTTTAATGGTGTTCACCCTGTGAGTGTAATGTGTGTGTGTTTCTGTCTGTCTGTCTGTCTGTCTGTAGTTTTGATTTCTGAGGGCTCTGATGGCGTGGCCCATAGGGAGCTGCACTGGACTCAAAGGCAATCTCATGGGTTGAACCCACCAGTGGCTCTGAGGGAGAAACTGAGGCAGTCTCCTCCCTTGCTGTTTATAGCCTTGAAAACCAGCTGAAGAGTTAGCCGTGAGTCCATTCAGACTCGGCACCAGGCGGTGAGCGGAGGGAGCTCGGGTGGTGGACTGTACAGTTGTGCCAAGGCAAAGGCTGTACCTCTGGAGGTTCGAGTCCGCTAGTGCCTCCACTGGAGGGTCTCTTCAGGGCAGTGTATGACAACGGAAGCCCACGAGAGGGTCAGCTCCGGGTCGGTTCTCACTCCGGCAGAGAGCAAGTCGAGTACCTGACGGCATTGAGCATCTTACGTGCTCCTCAGAAATAACGCGTGTCCTCCTTGGAGAAAGTCTGTTCAAATCCTCAGCTAATTTCCGGGTGTCATTTAACCTTTTCCCTCTTGGGTTTTGAGAGTTTTTTGCATATTCTGGAGATCAGACTGTGTGGTTTACAGATCTTTCCTCCCAGTCTGTAGGCTGTCTTTTCATTTTCTTGTTAATGTCCCATGTTGCACAAAAGATTTTAATTTGAGGGAAGCCAAATTTATCTTCTAAAAATTATAATTGCTGTACTGCTTGTGCCTATTGCCACTTGACCAGAACCTCCAGTGTACTTCCAGAGCCTGTGGCTGGCCTGAGTGATGCTGAAGCTGCCAGCCCGCCTGCATCCGACTCCTTCCACCGAGCGAGGCTCCCCAGATGCCTCCTCGAGTGGGACACTATCACCGTGTTCCAGGAGCTTATGACCGACAGCCCGTGGGGCTCCCAGCCATGTCTTAGCGGCCACTGTGTGCAACACTGCCTTGTGCCGGCCCACTCAGACCATCCTTAGTTGCATCCTTCGGGAATCTGCCAACTTTGCTTTGTTTCCATTCATATAGCACTTACCAGGAATGCTTCCATAGGATTTTTTTTTTGGGGGGGGGGTTGGTTTTTTTTTTTTGGCCACTAATTAATAGAATCATTTGGCAGTTTCATGATGGCATGGTTATTTTTTAATTGCTATTTTAACGTAAGTTTACAGAAAACTTGGATTTCCATTCATTCATTGTACATTTTCCTCCCTACTCACCCCTCAGTTCTCTTTTCTCTTTAAAAAAGTTTTTTTCAGGGGAGCTCTGGTGATCTACTGACAAGAAACTGTGCTGCATTCCCTCGTTGTTTGAATCCAGTTGGATTCGATTTGACAAGAAAAAAAAACCACACGATTCTTTGATCATTGCACAGTTTCCTCCCTCCTCCTCCACCCCCCAGTCCACTTTACTGTGCACCTCTTCTTCTGGGCTGTTGTCATGCAAGTAATGCCTAATCTTATATTTCTTTTCGACAGCTCTTTCCCTCATCTATTTTGACGCAGTGTTTCACCAATATAATAGTGGCACTATGCAGTATTTGTCCTTTAGTGACTGATATATTCCACTCAGCATAATATCCTCCAGGGTCATCCATTTTGTATAATATGAGTTCCTTGTTTTTCATTGCTGCATAGTATTCTGTTGTGTGAATATACCACAGCTTCTCTATTGATTCATTTGTTGCTGGGCACTTGGATTGTTTCCATCTCTTTGCCATTGTGAACAATGCAGCAATAAACATGGGGGAGCATATATCTGTTTGGGTGGCAATTCTAGTTTCTTTAGAGTATATTCCCACTGGTGCATTTGCTGGGTCAAATGATATTTCTATTTCCAACTTTTTGAGAAAGTGCCATACAGCCTTCCATAAGTGGTTGCACTATTTTATACTCCCACCAACAGTGAATAAGGGGTCCAGTTTCTCCACAACCTCGCCAGCATTTGTTGTTTGCTGCTTTTGTTGACTTTTGCTCTTGTTACTGGGGTGAGATGGTATCTCATAGTTGTTTTGATTTGCATCTCTCTTAGAGCTAGGGATTTTGAACATTTCTTCATGTGTTTGTTTGCCATCTGAATGTCTTCTTTGGTGACGTGTCTGTGCATATCCTGTGCCCGGTTTTCAATTGGCTTGTTTATCTTGTTGAAGTGCTGGAGTATTCTAGATAATAGTTCCTTATTGGACATGTCATTACCAAATATTTTTCCAGTCTGTGGCTTTCCTTTTACCCTGTTGGAAAAGTTTTTGGATGCGCATAGGTATTTGATTCTTAGAAGATCCCATTCATCTGTTTTATTCTCTCCTGGTTGTAGGAATACTTGTCTATCTTGTCTCCCCACAAGATAGACAATTCCAGGAGGGAAGGGATTTTAATTTTTGCCTTTTTGGCTCATGCCCCAGCTCCAAGAACATGGTCTGTTCACAGTAAGCACTTGGTCAGTGTTGAGTGGATGGATGGGCTGTTGTTGAGCTTGGGACTGGACAGATTGCTTTTCTTGTGTTTGCAAGTCATTTGGGTTCCCCCACCCACCCCATTTGTGAGAAAAAAGGTGGTTTCCTCCTCTCTGTGCTTATCTCTCCTCTAAGTTCCCCCTAATTCTTATCCAGTCTCCAGCATGTGTGCTTCACTGAATGGTGTAGTATTGAAGCTTGACTCTAACCTTGCCCTTATAGTTTTCAGTCCAGTTTTGCTGTAGTGTGTGTGTGGGTTCCTTTGGAATAGGCCGGGTAAGCCCCGAGTAAGTGCCCTTTGTGGGGACTGATGTAGTTCCTGATTTCAGCCATTCCTGCTAACCCGAGAAATTCAAAGCTTGGGTTTCAGGTGGGAGTAGAAGTGGGAGGGGAATAATTTACAAAATATCAATTCCGTTTTTCATTTCCTTTTTCTCTTTTGTCTTTTAGGATAGAGTTTTTGCGACATCTGAAGAGCTTTTTCCAGATTATGTTTAAAATTGAAAGCAAGCGGTGTGGTGATGAGCTCAAGGGCGGGGACAAGGTGCTGATGACTTGTGTTGGTGTCGGCTTCTCCAACCTCAGCAAGACCCTCAAGTGAGAACACACAGGATGAGGGCCCTGCCCGGCGCAGGAGGCCACAGGACACTGAAGGGACCAAGTCCAAGGGCGTTTCTCAGGACAGCCCAGACTCTTACACGGCAGACCTCCTGAGCTTCCGGCAGACCTCCTGAGCTTCTGTTAAGAAAAGCCCAGCGTGGGGGTTGCCCGCTTCTCTGTGGTGTAGGACGTTGCTCAGGACATTGCATCAGTCACCATATAAGCGCCCTTGACCTGCCTGGAGGGACAATGTCTCAGGACAGTCTCTTTCTGGAACAGCAGAACGGCTGCTCCATTCTTCTCGGCGTCTGTCCAGACCTCCTCCAGGCCTGCGAGCTCTCAGGCCTGCCAAGGCTTTGGCTGTTCTGAGCCTTGGTGTCCACAGGACGGAATGACAGCATATGGACTGACCATCAACAGCGCTGGCTCACGGATTTCAGAGACTGGTGACACGCTCCTCGTGTGTGGACAGCCAGGCTGGGGAGGCCAGTGTCCGCCTACAGTTCTGGATTTTAGCGTTCCTCGTATGCTATAGATTTTCTTATACTTTTTCAAATTTCCCTGTCACACAGATTCCATTATCTTTTCAAGAAAATAAATTTTGGAAGAATGTTTTGTTCCTTTGAATTTGTAAAGAGCTCTGAGTATAAAGGCGCAGGGCCTGGGGTTTTCGGCTACCTGTGAACCAATAACACTGTTGCCTGGGGTGCTGCAATAGACATAGGCTCCCGGGTCAGGGGTCAGGGCCTGCATTGTTGAGGCTCCTGGGTCAGGGCCTGCACTGTTGAGGCTCCCGGGTTAGGGGTCAGGGCCTGCACTGTTACTCGCAGACAGCAAGGCCCCGAGTCCCAGGCTGTGTCTGTTTCCCTCCCTCTGAGGGCTCACAGGGCAGCTGCAGGGGCCCCAGGCCATGTCATGTGGGCCTTGACGCAGCACCACCGCCGAGGGGCCAGCAACGGCAGGGTTGCACCTCTGTGGTAAGCGTGCTGCGCTCCAGGTAGAAGGTACCTCGTCCCTGCAGAGTGTTGACTGCAGACTTTTCTGAGAAGCCCATGGGAACCCGGTGCCGTCGTGTCCTTAACATCACGGGTGGGAGTAAGGCTGCCCTGTAGGATTTCCTCACTGTAATCCTTATGGACGCAGACTCCTCACCATTCCCTTGTGGAGACGCTGGTAGAATGGAACCACTGACCTTTTGAATAGCAGACTAGGACTTAATCAACAGCGCCAAACAGACTCATACTAAAGAGTGGTAGAGTCGTGTTCTTGGCATGCAGGGACAGAGTGCCCAGCCAGCTGATAGCGTTGGAGTTTGCCCTGTGGGATGGGCCAGTGTTGACAGACGGGCAGACCTGGATTTTTCTTACTGGGATTTCACATGGAGCCCTTGACCTGGGGTGGCCTTGCCAGTCCCTCTTTGTACCTTTTCTTTTAGTGAGAAGGGACAGAGGGATGACTGGACCGATGGGGTGGGGGTGCAGAGCTAATAGGTAGAAAGACCAGGCCCCCCTGCCTGGGGCCCCATGCTCAGAGCTTGATGAACCCTATTGGCTTTCTGTTGCTGTAACGATTACCACACCCCTGGGGTTTAGAGCAGCCTCCTTTACCAGCTCTGTGGGTCTGAAGTCCAGGCAGACTCACTGGCTGCTTCTTCGAATTAGGATCTTGTGAGGCTGAAGCCACAGTATTTGCCAAGGTCCGCCTCTAATCTGGAGGTCCAAGAAGGAGTCTGATTCTAACTCATTGGGTTGTTGACAGAACTAGATTTCTTTAGCAGATAGAACTGGAGTTCCTGTTTCCTCACTGTCTGGTCAATGGGGGGGAGGAAGGAGGCTGGGCTTTTAGAAACAACTGCTGCTGAGTTGATTTCAACTCATAGCAAAGCCAGTAGAACAGAGTAGAACTGCTGAATGGGCTTTTGAGGCTGTAAATCTTCGCAGGAGCCCATTGCCATATTTTTCATTTGATAAAACCAAGCCTGTTGTGTGGTGGCGTCAAGTACAACTCCTAGCGACCCTGTGAACAACAGAGCTGCACCCTGTCCTGTCCTGTGCCATTCTCCTCCTCTCTGACACTGAAGCCTGATGTCACTGTCAGTCCCTCTGGCTGAAGCCTTCACCAGCCTCCACCTTCCAAGTGTGATGTCTCTTTTTAAAGAATAGCCGCTCCATGACAACATGCCAGAGTGTGTGAAACGCAGCTTCCCTGTCCTTGGCTCTGATGCCTTTGGGTTGTGATGTGGGAGGAGAGCACTGATGATCCCAAGAACAAACGGCTGCATCTTGGAGGAGTGTAGCCAAGTGCTCCTCAGAGGCAGCTGTGGTGAAGCTTTGTGTCGAAACCAAACCTGCCCGTGAATCTGTTCTGACTCAGAGCGACCCCAAAGGCCAGAGGGAGGCGCTCTGGTGGCACCATCCCTGATGTGCTATGTGTGTCTCAAGCAATTCACATTTACCAGTGGCTCCAGGTGGAAGATGAGACTTCTGTTAAGATTTACAGCTCTGGATACTTGAGGAAGTGGAACTTGAGAAACTTGGAAAGTGGAAGGTCGTTGAGTCAAGATTGAGTCACTCGCAGTGAGTGGGGACAGCAGAAGCACCGCACTGTATTTCCTAGGCTGAAAATCTTCACAGGTGCAAGCTACCCCGTGTTCCTCCCACCTTTCTTTTAGCGACCAAGGACTTTAATCACTGTGTGACCACCTTCTGGGGGCTGTCCTCATTCTTCACGCCACATTCTGCGTCCATCTGGTAGCCACAGCTTTGCATTGAATCCGACTTTTCTCCCGGCCAGAGGCCACTTTCACCAGGACTTCAGTGTTCATCCCCCCACATGCCATGTCAGCTGTCGCTCAGTGGGTTTCACCGCACGTGACTTCACCCTTGTCAGAGCAACACTGTTTTCTGTAGGCCTTTCTGTGATTGAAAGCAGCTTGCAAGCCTGAGTATGTTAACCATTTGCACTGCTCAGAGAATGCCCCTAGCCTTTGGCGATATCGCTTATCATCTTGGGCTGCTAAGCAGAAGGTTGGCAGTTCAAATCCTTCGGCTGCTCCAAGGGAGAAAGATGGCCAGTTTCCTCCCATTAAGATGTACAGCCTCTAAGGGAGCTCTGGTGGCCCAGTGGCAAGATGCTGTACTGCAATCCCAGAGGTACGTGGTTCAAATCCACCAGATGCTCTGCTGGAGAAGGAGGGTGCAATCTCCTTCTGTACCAGTCAGATCTGATTTGATGGTACACGTAAAAAAAAAAAAAGATGCACAGCCTCAAAAACCCAATAGAGGGTTTCTAGGGAGCTCTAGTGGCCTAATGGTAAAGTGCACTGCTATCCCAAAGACATGTAGTTCAAATCTACCATCTGTTCCACAGGAGAAGGATAGGGCAAATAGCCTCCCGTGTGATTAACTGCCTCTGAAAACTGATTGAAGGATTAGCTCTGCGTCAGTTCCAGCTTTACAGTGCTCAACAACAAATCAGGGCTCTGGTGGCCTAGTGGTGAGGAATCGTACTACCACCTGCGGAGAAAGCTGGGCAGTCTCCTGACGTGACTTAGAGCCCCTGGAAACCGGCTGGAGGGTCAGATTTGAATCGGTTCTGACTAGATGGCACCCGACGATGTAAGTTGGAGCCAATTCAACAGCATCGAGTTGGGGATCAGTAATCCTCCTTTCATCCCCAGATCTCGTCACCAGATCAGCGTTTGGACAGCCTGGGGCTGGGATGCTGGGTGGCCAAGATTGTGCCCACGACACACACTACAAACTAGCTGTCGATGGTCAAGACCAGATCTGGCCAGAACGCAGCCTGCGCTGCATTTCGATGAGCCAGATGTCACCCTCTGGGGCCTGGGCCCTTGAGCCAGCCCCAGACAGGGTGCTGGGGGTCATGTCCGGCAGCAGCTCAAGTCCAGGCAAGCAGAAGAGGTGACATGTCCTGCCAGCTGTTGACACGGGACATGTCTGGTGGCCTCCAGCCCTCCAGCTGGCGCATCTGCTTTTGGAGTTGAAACATCTGGCAGGAGGGTGACGGTCAGAAAGGAGGACAGATTTATGCCCTGGGCTCCCTGTATTCCTCGGGGAGGCAGTGCCATTCTGTGGGCAGAAGCCACTCCATGCTGGCTTGTGGCAGTCCCCTGCGGTTGCCGTTCAGGAACCAGTTGGAACAGCTGCCCCCTAGGATGGTCTGGTGAGACGTGTAGCCCTTTGGGGCTTGGGTTTTCTGCCTCGGCCTGTTTCCCTTCTCTGTTAATAGGTCAAGTTCTTGGTTACAGCAGCGATGGTTCAGTAGAACTCAAAAGCAAACCCACTGTCTTCAAGCAGATCCTGACTCCTGGTGACCCTCTCTCATGTTTCCAAAGCTGTCACTCTTCATGGGAGGAAAAAGCCCTTCCTTCTCCATCGATTTCTCTGCTGGATTCGGCCTTTCAGCTAGTAGCCTGTCATGTAATACTGCGCCACAGAGCTCTGCTCAGTCGGCTATGCCTGTGACCTTGTTGGAATGGTGGCTTTGTCGCACTGCTAGTCCAGAGGTCACATTTCTCTGATGGTTCACCCCCCCAGCATCTCCAGGGAAAGATGAGCAGTCTCCTGCCCTGGAACCCACGTGGAGGGCGGCCTGTGAACGGGTTCTGTCTGATGGCACCGAGTAAGCGTTAGGGTTTTCATCGCCTTCTTGTCACCTCCCAGGCCTGCCTCTCTCAACACCTTTCATCTGCAGAGGCCAGCCAGCTCCGTCCACCAGGATGACTAGACCAGTCTCCTCACACAGCTGGTGAGAGTGCGGGCAGCAAGGGCGCTGCAGGACGATGTGCTGCTGGTGAGGAAGCAGCAGCAGCTGCCACGGGTCCTGTGAGAGCTGGACCGCAGGGGGTGAGGGTGGTCTAACGGCAGGGCAGGTCGGGGGCGGGGGCAGTGGGAACATGGCATGCAGCGATGCCTGCCCCTTGGGTGAGGGGAGGGTGGTCCAACGGCAGGGCAGGTCGGGGGCGGGGGCAGTGGGAAC